GCCTCCCACTGACTGGAGGAGGCAGCAGGAAGAGCCCTGCCACTGTGCAAGCACTGCTCAGCAGCAGCCAAAACCCCAGGGCAGCTTCTGCACTGCTTTAGGCACAAATGCAGAGCAGGGCACCACACAGGCGGCTGGGAAGAAAGTTAACCCCAACCCTGACACATCCAGTGCACTGCTCTGTCACAAAATTATTCCTGTTGCTTTAAAGACAAAGGAGGCTTGAATGCAAAGGATGTTATAAACAACCTGCTGCAATTATAAGCAATTGCATAAGACCTTTATCTTCAAGGTCTGACTCACACATTTCACTGTCGAAAAGCTGGGACTTGGTTTGTGGAACGAGCTCATTAGGAACCACAAACTCTCATGTTTCACCTGAAGTAGAAAATAACTACCTTCTAGTCTGACATCTCTACTAGAAAGCCATATAATTGTGGGCATTTAGAATTGGAGGCACAAAACAACACTGCCCTGGATACAGGTCTCAGAAGGGACATAAGGGAAAGGCAAAAATGTCTATGACACAATCCTTAATGCACTCTGAGGCTCCAGGCTGGAGACTGTGAGTCAAAAGAGAATAAAAACAAAGCATTTACATAGAAGCACCCATCAAAGAAGGTGTCAATGTCTTTAAGGGCTGCTAATTGTAATATTGAATTGTTATCAACAGATATGCCTTGATACACGTTGATGTTATCAACAAAACAACACAATCACCCTCAGTGATTTTGATGAAAGCTGCACTTTCTGTAGTGGATTTACATCTATTTATACCATGGAGATATTTTGCCTGTAATTCTGTGAGGAGAAAGATTTTTTAGCTCCTTTTTTTGAAAACAAGATCTAAACCCATCAGTCATCTCAATGAGATTATGCTGGGTTTACAGAACCTTCCCCACTTAATGTATTTTTCTGTTATTTTACTGGCTCTGCTTGTAAATACAGGATTATAAGAAAAATGAGAAAATCAAAAGATATGCAGCTTCTCCTAGAAGAGGTTAAAACCCTGTCAAAAACCCTCATCTGTGTTTGTGTGATAAAGACTGCCACTGAGTACAAGCCACAAAGTCCAGAGAAAATATGTTTGCTTTCAACACATCTCATGGGGTTTTGTCACTTTTGAATATAACATTCCTGGATATTTAGCTGCTGGCACTTGCACACTGCTGGCTTACTGGCAATGAGATATATTGCTGGGCATGTACAGGGGTGTTGCATGAAAACCAAGATAAACTTTACAGGATCACAGAGCAGTCCCTGCCTGACAGAGCAAAGCTGTCAGATCTGAGGATACACCGAGACAGGATGTTCTCAGAACTACAGAGCCACTCAGCTGTCAGACGATGCAAGCTGCCTGTCTTGTCTCTTTGCATTCCCCCACACTGTGAATCACTGGAATTCTTCCAGATGGGATGCTCAAAATGAACTGCATTTTTCCCTTAATCCCTGGACTCCAATGGTTAACCTCTCAAACTCTCCCCCCATGCTTGCCTGGGATCCCCTGACTGTGGCAAATGATAGTGGATAGGGGAACCTGCAGGGCCCACAGGCATCCCTTTGTATCAGGGTGCTCTGCCTATGCAGGGCTGAAACAGCTCTAAACCCACCCCAAGAGCAAAAGTGAGCAGAGCTGGGTGGAGAAGGAGGGTGGGCTGCTTTTGGTGTGGAAGAATGCTGAGACCAGCAATAAATTTTGGTGTTGAGGAATGCTGAGACCAGCCAGACTCATCAATCCCAAAGTTAACATCACAGGAGCAAAAGAGCTTTGCCCATGATCCTTGCTATGGGTGAGTAACATCAACCTCTACTTAATAATTATTTTGCTGGCTCAGATATGATTGCTTTAATAATGCTGCAATAAAAAGTGTACAGGGAGTTATACCTACCTATTCTGTGTAGTAGATAATTCTGATTAAGATCTCTTAATCTAATCATCATCAACTCAAATAAATAAGTTATTTTATTAATATAAATATATTTGGTTTACCATTCTTACTCCTGAAGGACAAAGCAGTACAAAGGCTCAATTACACCTTTATAATCCTTTGGACATAAACCATTGATTAATTCTGGGGGTAGAGTTGAAACCAGCTGCACTTTGAGAAGGGGTTTAGAAAGCAAGGGGGTCCTTTCTGTTTCTCGTGACTCAGTGGAAGGGTTTCCCTGATAAACCTTGTCCAAATCTTCCATTCTGCCTGTGATGCCTTTGAACAGCTCAGAAATTGCTGCTCCCAGCCAACCTCTATAAACTGATTTGCAGCAGCCACCTCTCTATCTCCCCATGACACCAGGAATGCCAGCAAGAAACTGGGTTTGCTCTGCTCCTCATGGGGCTCCTAGTTGATATTATATTAATAGTCTTTCTCACTGGGACACAGAATTTTTGGTGTGCTCATTCTGACTGTAATCCCATTATATCAGCCAAATTCTCAGTATGCATTCGGTGTAACCTGACATTTCTACAGCATTTCTTTTATTGAAGGATGAAAAGCTTCCTCACAAGTTCAGAACAAGATTCTCTACTTTTTGACACAATGCAGTGTGCTCCAGCAAGGTGCTGTTATATTTCCCTTCCCATATGTGATCAGAGAAGAAATAATTTGGATCTTTTCCTGTTCTAGTAAGTCTCAAAAAGCACGGGACAGCCTGACCACATATCCACAGTCCAGAACTGAAAAGCAGCAGCCAAGAGGCAATCAGATTCAAGGAATTCAGAGATTCTGCTGGCTGAAGACAGTGAACCATGGGCCAAAAGGAGCATTTATGCTCTGAAAAAGTCCTGGAATATCAGCATTCTGCTCATGTAGTGCTGACAGATGAAGGGCTGGAGTAACGCTGAAGCCATGGTTCAAAGAGCACAGGCAGCTGAACACATGAAATGCAGATGACTGCATCCTCTCCAGCTTGTGATGATGAAGCCAGTTGGAAGAAATCTGAATGAAGGCAGTGAAGAAATTGTTGGCATTCATGTTGTGGTACTTTACTGATTACATATACGTGAGTTGGTAGGAGCCTATTCTTCCTGCAATTCAGAATTCAAGCTCTCATCCTGGATCTTGAGAAAAATGTAGGGCTGCTTATTTTTTTTTCTTCTCCAGTAACTCAATAAAACTCTCCACAGTAATATAAACAAGAGTGAAAAATCTAGAATGAAGAACAGGAGTATTAGGATATAAAGAGAAAAGCATGAAAAGTATCTGTAGCCAGATTTGCAATTGCTTATCTGAGTCTGAAAGACAAAGAATAATCTTTTCTTCACAGCAGTAAAGCTGCATATTTTAGCTTGTTTTCACTGGAAATGTTGTGGATAGCTCAGAAAAAAGAAGCTCCCACATCATTTAGAAAATGAAACTCATATAGCATCCCACCCCTGTCTCTTCCCTTCAAAGAGGTCATCAGCTTCTAGTTTTTATGTAATTTCCTTAAAAAAAAATAAATAAAAAAAGTTTTTTTCTGTGCACAAAGATTGATTCATTAGATGTTTTTTGTCTCTGGGCATTGACCAGCCTTTAGCTGAATAGAGTTGGAGTTCATACAACTTAATTGGAAGAGCATCATTTCCAACATCTCCCTAGGACATTTACTATGAATGGTGAGAAACAAGAAAAAGGAATTGCTGATGTTTAATGTTTTATGCTGTGGAAAGGACTCATTGTTTTGCTCAGCAGCTTGAGTGCTTTATGAGTAGGAAGGGGTCTCCTTGTCAAGAATGAACACAGTACTTTTCTTTCATCCTCATCTTGTGAGTGGATGTGAAAGAAACTAAAATACTGTGTTTTCTACTCCCATCATCACAGTCACCTTGAGACACCAAAAGTTTGAGAAATGTCACCCCTTTAGAATTTTCTGCACAGTCATTTGGAATTTCCTTAACTTCTTGTTAAAGGCAGTTATCACAATTACAATTTTTCCACACTTCTAAGCAAAAACAATAGTGAATTGTCATCCAGGGAACTCCAAATGGGAGAAACATCAACAATTTTGGCAGCATTACAACTAAACCGTCAGAAGTTTTAATAACATTGCACCACTCCTTAAAAACAAGAAACTTTCTTCCAGTGCCTGCTTCTGATTTAACTGTGACTCTCCACTTATTACTTGCCACTTACTACTCCACTTACATTGTGTAGAGAAAGTGCTGAACCCACTCCTGCATGACAGCAGAGTGGATGACAGCTAGGAAAAAATATTGGAATTCAAGAAATGTTTTTGTTCTTCCAGAAATTTGTTTTTGCAATGCCAGCTATAGCATCTGGTTGATCTTATGACTTCAATGCTCCTTTTTTAGAGGGTGTTTAAAAGACTGAAATTCGCCGCATAAGCTGGCCAGACTCCCTGCTGCCTTCTGGCAAAGAGACCCTTGCTGGAAGATGGAAGCCAAAAGATCCTTCCCATAGAATGTTTGGTTACCCTAAATCCCGCAGTTTCATTTGTGGCTGTTCTCCTATCTGCAGTATGTGTGGATATGTGAGGACACAATCCTCCACACTTCCTCCACGTGAAAAGGAATGATACTCTGAAATGTAAATCTGAATACGGTGTACCCTTACTACCTCTGCTGAACATCTCACGTTTGCAGATAAATTGAACAGGAAAGTGCTTTTCTCCTCAGTTTAATTACTGATTTGTGCTTCTACCCCTTTCCTTCAAAAAATGAAGCTGTGCTGGACTGCAGAACCTGTCCTTGGAGAGCAGAGTTTATTCATGTGACACAGCACTTAACTCCCTCGGGGTAATCCTGCTGAAGCCAATTGGTTTACTCGAGTTGTACACCCGTATTTGCACAACAAAGGGGTAGCACAGACACGGTAGGAATAACAAACGAGCTCTCCCACTGCCACGGGCAAGCTAACTGATTAGGAAATGCAAATTTGTTGAGTGTAACTTCCAGGAGGGAAAGGAGTAGCTAAGTAGCATTTGCTACTTACTTAGTAAATAATTAGCTAAAGCAACTCAGACATTGTGCCCGGGGCTCTGGGTGAGGGATGTGTGTTGCAGGGTGTGTGTGCTGCCTTCCTCCGGCTCTGCTGGCAGGACTGCCAACACCACACGCCCGGGCTCTACTCAGCATCCCTCGGCCAGGGTTAGGCTCATCTAGGGATGAGAGCAGCAAAAAACCCTGCCAGCATCTCTGACTGCTGGGTAACACATGCAAATAAGAAAAGCAAATCGTTCTGTAATCCTCTCTACCTCAGAAGGGAAAAAGATTCAAGATTAACCTTAATTCGTGCTGTGGTTTAGTCCAGTATGTAGAGACTGATGATTCCTCTCCCACTTTGACCTTAAAAAGTAAGGTAAGGAGAGGCCACAGGGAGAGAGGTCCTTCTTTCTCTCAGCAGCATCCTTCAGCTCTTTCAGCTGACTTACTTCTGGTATTTAATGCTATTTAGATTACCCAGGATGGCTCTGTCAGCTGCCTCTGTCATCACCTCACATGCAGATGCTGACGTGACAGAGCTCAGCAACTCCACATCACACAGAGACATCCGCCTGCTCTGATCAAAGGCCCGGGAGAATCAGGTAACAGCCCTGCTTCCCTAAATTTATCTGATATTAAATTGGCTGAGTTCTGTGCTATTCAAGGTTTTAGAAGTACATAGATAAGATGTAACAGGCTGTTCCTCGACTTCTAAGATTTCGCTCTTTCCTGCACTTTGCAATCCTCTAATTTATCTACTGTACCTTCAAGTAATTTGGGTTTTATTCATAACAGCTCAGCCTTAATTCTGTGACACTTTTCTCTGTCATGACTCAGTTTTTGTTATATATGAGTTATGACACAGGACAGTCCTTTTCCTTCAGTAAAGCTTTGAAATCATATTTATGAAAATATAATATGGTTTAGGATGCTGGGCTCATTATGCATATTTTTACATGAAGATTCACACACAAGTGGTCAAGAATAAGCACCTGCCTAGTACTTTTCTTGGGATGAGAAGGCAAACAGTACAAAAAGGGGTGACATAATTTTGTCTATCAAACTCATTCTTCTTTAAAATTCTCATAAAAGAACCATACTTCAACTGATTTTACAGTGAGTGTAAACATCTTTCCCTCTGTGTTTTTTCAGCTTTACCCAGTACTTTGGGCTTTCTGCACCTTGGTGCTTATTTCTGTATCACAGGGAAATTGTGCTTTTCTTTCTTCTTTTTCCAGATGTCTTAGCTGTGCAGCCTGGAAAAAGCATATTCCACTTGCATAGTTCTCTCTTCTCACTCACACAGTGCTCACTTTCATATTTAGCAGAGAGATTTGTTTCCTAAACCTCATTAAGCAGGGAATACTTTTACTAATCCAATTCAGCAAATTATAATTTTATCAGAACTGTCCTTTAGAAAGAGCTTTCAGAAATTGCCCTGCAACTCTGGAAAATGTGCACAGATAGAAGGATTTATTTTCCAAACAGAGAGTCTTAATCTCTCATTAAAAAAACCAAAAAACCAAAACCCAAACCATAAAAACAATACAGGACAATAGTTACTGTTGCTAAAATGAACGTATTGCCTGTTTTCTATGCTACAGAAAAAAAATCCAGCATTTTACAAGAAATGACCTTTACGTTAAATCTCTCTTTGGGGGCATGCATTGCCCTTATAACTGCTGTCAGTATTTAATGTACCTAATGGGGAAAAGGGACACTGGAATCAGCAGTGGGTGGGTGTCACACTGACAAACACACATGGGTACATTTCTTCTGCTCACACAGCTCGCAAAATCTCACCATTTCTTTGTTGGCTGGATTTTTATAGCACAGACTGCCATGGTACCCAGGGGACATGGAAGTGATGGAAGCACATCATCCTGAGGTTTCAGCCCACACTGTCTGTGCTTTATTTTTCTCAGAATGAAATAAAACAGCACAAGATTTCGAAAACTGGTTCATATTTTATTATTTTGCATGGGTCTGACTTTGATGAAGATGTTAAAGTACCAACACACTAATTAATGATGACAAAACAGTAACAAATAACAGTGGATCCAGCTTGAGCAAACAGCAGCAGGAAGAATGCTGAGGTCGTAAGAATTAACAGATGATTAAAGATACATTGGGCTACGCCTTAGTCATGGACTGAAAATGTCATTAAAAAAATCATCAAACCCTCTATAAATAACTTCATGATTATTTCTCAGGGAAATTGTCGGGTGTTTCAACACTGCTCAATTGTTCCTTTTCCTTCCTCAGCAGAAGACTGAAATATTTACTAAATTATTTAAATGTTATTTTATAGACCACTATCTATAGAAAAAGTAATGTTTTCAGCATACACAGCTCAGGGAATAGCAAAATTTTAATCTGATTTAAAATTAACTACTTTTGAACTAACAAAACAATGAGCAAAAAAACCACAAGGACAGGTTCTAAAATGAAGTAAAATTCTTATCAAAATGGGGGATAACCACTGCTTTTATCCTTATACAACCAAACCCAGAATTTAGCACAGGGAATTTGATTCTGCTATCAAAACATGACTTGATTCTTTACATTACAGAACTAAAATAAATTACTTTGGGCTGTAGCCTCCCCTTGGAACCCAAGGTATACAGAGTTTATTTGCACTGCCTTCTGCCTACTCAGCACAGCCACATCCACCAGCCCGATCATGTGCTCTGCAGGGCGAGCCACGTCCTTAATTGCCAAGGAGAAACACGGACACAACCAGCCAGGGGACAGCATTCCCTTGGCTTTCCATAAACCATCCGGGGTGGAGTCGTTTGAGCCGCAGGGAACCATCCCTGCCTTTGGAACAGTTCTGAGGGGCCAGGCCCTGCGCTGGGGCTCAGGGGACACGGCAGCTGTGCCCGGCCCTCAGCAGAGATCCCCGGAATGCTTCGTGTTGGAAGGGCCTTGAGAGCCCTCCTGTTCCACCCGCCCGCCAGGGACGGGGACACCTTCCGCCATCCCCGGCTGACCCGGCCTTGCACACTTCCAGGGATCCAGGGAAATCCACAGCTTCTCTGGGCACCCTGTGCCAGGGCCCCACCACCCTCACAGCGAGGAATTTCTCCACACAACCCAATCTCAGAGTGAGTCCATCCCCTGTCTCTGAGACCCCTCTTCAACGCAGCTCGGGCTGATGTGCGGGGGGACGGACGGCGCCGGCTGCGGTGGGGCAGCCGCGGTGCCGATGTCTATGGCGCTTCCGATCCCAGATCCCGCTCCCTCTCCTGCCCCTGCCCCTGCCCCTGCCCCTG